GGCCTTTCTACTCTGAGAATGTGGAGGATGAGGCTAGAGCTTGGTGAGAAGTCTCAAGCAAACGAGATCGATTCGTGAAAATATTAAGGAGTTTACTAGCCTGGTCCTTGAAATTCCTGACATGTTCTACAAGGATGCTCTATTCAATTTCATGGATGGAGTCCAATAGTAAGCGAAGACTGAGCTTAGGAGGCATGGAGTGCAAGATCTCGCTACTCTCGTCACCATCATGAAGAGCTTGGTTGACTATACAAACTAGTCTACAAAGCCAAGGGAAAAGAAGAGCAACTATGTCAAAGGTGGGGGAGACTAGGATCAACATAAGGAAGAGACCAATTGCAAATCAACCCCATCCAAGGCAAAAGACAAGGGAAAGTCTAACAACAACAACAAAACTAAACCACACAACAACTGCTTTCTTTGTGGAGGACCTCATTGGGGAAGAGATTGCCCTCAGAAGAAGGCTTTGAACTCTCTTCTTGCAAGCCATCAAGAGGAAGAAAGAAGCGATATGGCAGCACAAGTGGGAGTAATGTTACTGCTCAATGTGGTGCATTCCTCCAAAAATCCCAACAAAGGACTTCTCTTTGTGGAGTGATTATAGGTGGGATATCTGCTAAAGCAATGATAGATACGAGAGCTTCTCACAACTTTATCTCTATCGAAGAAGCAAAGAGGATGAGTCTGCAAATAACTAGAGGAGGAGGCTCCATCAAAGCAGTCAACTCAGCGGCTAGGTCTATACATTGAGTGGCCAAAGGAGTGAAGACTTGTGTCGGAGATTGGTCAAGTACGCTGAATTTCTCCATCATTCCTATGGATGATTTCAATGTAATCCTTGGTCTAGAATTCTTGGATCAAGTGACAGTGTTTCCAATACCATTTGCCAATAGAATGTGCATCATAGAGGGCAATCAAGCTGCCTAGTACCAATAACTAAGACTTCAAGAAAGAAGCCAAAATGTTATCGACCATTCAATTCAAGAAGGGCATTCCGACGAGAGAAGGAGAGCTACTTGGCTATTTTTCATGACTCCATTGAAGAATTAAAACCCTAACAAGACTTGCAAAGGGAAGTGGTGGCAACACTTGAGGAATTTAAAGATGTTTCACCACCGAAATTACCAAAAGAACAACCACCAAGAAGGGAAATCGATCATCAGATGCAATTGGATGTCCGTCTTGCTTCGTCTTAGAGTATGGAGACACTATCTACTCAGCTCTAAATTCTGGGCCATGAAAGATAATATCGCCGCTAGCTTCTTTCAGACCCGGAAGAAGTAAAGTCCCAAGCGGGCTAGATGACAGGATTTATTGGCGGAATTTGATTACAACTTGGAGTATAAACTAGGAATGGCCATTGTAGCAGACGCACTAAGCTGAAAAGAAGAACTTGCAAGAATTTCATAAGCCTCCAGCTCCCTCATAACCAATATCAAGGAAGGGTTGAACTCTGATCCACAAGCCGAAAGTATCATTGCTCTGGTGAAGGATGGAAAAACCTGAAATTTTTTGATACATGAAGATGTCATCTATACTAAAGACCGACACATCTACATACCAAGGTGGGAAAACTTAAGAGAGGAGCTAATCAAAGAATGTCATAACTCTTTATGGGCAGGATATACAGGTATAAAGCGAACCCTAGCACTTCTAAAAACAAATTATTATTGGCTAGGGATAAAGGACGGGGTAGAAGAATATGTTCGCACTTGTCTTGTTTACCAACCAGACAAAGTTGTTCTTCAACAACCAGGGGATTGTTAGAACCACTACTTGTTCGTCAGGGGAGAGCGTCTATATGGACTTCATCTCCAGCTTGCTAAAGTTGGATGGATCTGGAATCATCTTGGTCGTGGTAGATAACTTCAGTAAGTATGCAACATTCATTGCTGCTTCCTCCGATTGTACTGTCAAAGAAGCAACAAGGCTATTTCTCTGCAACGTGGTAAGGCTATGGGGAATACCACAAAGCATTATCAATGATTGAGATCTTCGCATCACTGTGAGATTTTAGACCAAACTATTCAAAATGTTGGGTCAGATCTAAATTTTTCTACATGCTTTCATTCTCAAAGTGATAGACAGGCCGAGAGGATCAATGCCCTCTTGGTGCTGTATTTGCGTCACTCTGTGAGTGCAAATCAATAAAATTTGAGCCAAATTGCTTTATGCGACACAATTCTCTTTCAATTTGCAAAGAAACGAAGCCACCAACAAGAGTTCTTTCGAGATAATCATAGGATAACAACCCATGGACCCTCTCCCTTATAACCAATTATGAAAGAAAAAGTCCAGCATCCTTCAAGTTTTCTAAGTTTTGGAATGGGCAAAGGGAGCTAGCTCGAGCAACATTACACAAGGTCGTCGGGAGAATGAAGAAGTGGGTAGACAAAAAAGAAAAGGCATATTGAGTTTAAAGAAGGAGATCTAGTCCTTGTAAAACTTCTACCTCAACAATTCAAAACATTTCGAAAGGTACATAAAGGGTTGATTGAAAGATACGAAGGGTCTTTCGAGTGCTGAAATAGGTGGGAAAGATCTCCTTCAAACTCAACCTTCCACCAAAATTAATGATACATTCAGTCTTTTATGTAAGCGTGTTGAAGCCCTATCATGAAGACATGGAAGACTCTTTAAGATGGATTTTTATGTGAGTGCCTACAACCATAATCACCTCCTTTGATAAAGAAGTTGAAGTATTACTGATAGACAAGGTGATTAGATGGCAAGGGTTGCCAAACTACAAGGAGTATCTCATCAAGTAGAGAGGATTGCCTGATAGCGAAGCTAGCTGGGAGAATGAAGACACACTATGGAAATTCAAAGAAATGATCTAGCAGTATCAGGAGGATGACACAATGAGGACAATGCAAGCTTAAGTGGGGGAGAGTGTCACTCAATTTTCAAAGAAATTGGCAAGACAACCATGGGATGGAAGATTCTAAAGAAAACCAAAAGCAAGAGAACAATTCAAGTAACTCTAGAAGACTACCACATTCTTGAGAATATTAGAAGGAAAAGCTCCAATGAGAACTTAATAACCTAGAAAGATCTTGGGCTATGTATATATATATATAAGTGAATGGTGTAGGACTATCTAGAAACTAAACTATTCTAATGTAATCTAGAAAATTCTCTTAAACTTTTAGAGGACTATAAATAGAAGTCCCTCCCCCTTATTTGGAACCATCCAAGGTTCCCAGGCATTCTAGTGTTGTAATCACTCGTTCTTAGTGAAGTGTTTCTTTCTCCAACACTTCTCCCTACTCTTCTTCCTAGAGTGTTTGTGCTTACAAGTCCAAGTGTTATGAGGGCTAGACAGATTTAGTGCCAAGAAAGAGCGCTGAAGCGGCATGGATGACTTAAGATAAGTTAGTCTGTGACACGTTGCTTCTCTGTACGCCTTCCTCTACAACCTGAACTCCAGCCCTTCGCTGTAGCACCCAGAACTCTTCCCTTTAGGCAGTTTCTTCTTGCTCTTGTTTAGCCAGTAGAGTTACCAAAATGATCTTCCTCTTGCATAGTGGGTGTTATAGTTATGAAAAAAACCAACTTGTTAGCGAAAGTGATAAGAAAGTGGTCGAGGTAAGAGTTGATTTGAGAAACTAATTGTTGAGAATTTATATCAGAAAGGGCTGAAAAGTATCCCTCATTTATCTTTTTTTGTTCTTCTTATTGTACGCCATTTTGAACATCTATTTTATATATCTTGATAAAGAAAACAATAAAATAATAGCAATCATTGATGCAATCCTACAATGATTGGAGCTCCTTTGACTAAGTTTAATGTTTTCGTTATATTTATTTTTAATAATTTTAACTTATCTTTGACTCACTTTGTTTTTCCTAATGCATGCTAAATAAATTTTCTCTTACTCGTTGCATTCCTTCTTGAAGATCAATAAAAAATATATGAAGCGCCATTATTTGTTGCCATTGTTCTTCTTTTATTTACTTTGTAAATAAAATACATCCATAATTGATCAACCTGACATAAAACAACTTTCTCTCTCCAATGTAGGTGATTTTTCATAGTATATATTTTCAGTACCTTACTCCATAACATTATTTTTACTACTAATTATTTAACATCATGTATATTCTTTATATTTACTAATATTTTTTTCCTAAAAGTTAATGTTAAAAACATTTCTTTTTTAATTATTTGACATCCTATTAGCCTTAAAGATCTATTTAAAAGATTGGTTAACCATACTACTCCAGTAACGCAATTCCTAAATCTAATAGGGATCTTATTTGGAGCTAAAGCTTTTAACCATAAGCAACTTCTAAAGAGGCAACTCAATGTTTTTATTTTTAAATCAATGTATAACATGTTTCATTATATTCTGTAACGCTTTTCTAATGATTTTCTTCAATTAAAATTCTCATTTAATATTTTAGTCAATGATATTTTTGTTTATTATATGAACTAATATGTATTGCACAAGCTTCTTTTAGAACTTAGAACTATTTTCCAAGATAATTGGCTTAGGTTAAATCAACTCAATCTAGACTTGAAATTCAAGTCAACTCAATTATGACTTGAATCAAACTATACATGTTCGAGCCTGAATTGAGTCCACTAGCTTGGACTCAACTCTTTATCACCCCTACTTCCTGTAAAAGTGAACAGAGATAGATAATGAGTCAAAAAGCAAATTTTAAGCAGTTGGGATACAACCTGAAGAAGATGATAAAGAAGAAGCATTGCATTTAATGATGACAGTTTGGTCTTGTTTTCCTTCAATTAACATTTTGTGGCAATACTTGTTTTTTTGACGTATCAGTTGCTTCTCAACTGTGCTTATATCCTTTTACCGATTCACGATCATTTTTATTTCCAATACTTAAGCATTCTTACAATTTTTATACAATGGTGTTGCTGCCTTTTATGACTACGTTCTACTTCATTTTTTTTCTTCTAATTCTCTAATTGGATCAATGCTGCAGGAATGTTCCATTTTATAACGTTTTATTTGAATGTATTTGTTCAGGCGCTTCATCTAACCCCACTCCTGATCTTAAGAAGGAACAGCTTGAGAACCTTGTAATTCGGCTTTTATTAGATCGTGTACTGGTAAGATGACTTTCTGTTTTTGTATTAAACTTGTTTTTTTTTTTCTGCAAAATTAAGCATGGAAACCGGAATCCTCCATATGGGACAAATGCAATCTGGTTGTATCCAGAATTATATAATTAAATTTCCTTTCTTGTACAAGTTATATCCAAAATCTACAATTAAATATCTATTCTCCTTTCATTTCTTGGGGGGCATTCAATTTGGAATGTCCCAATTTGATTCCGAGTAATTGAAGGTTTGGATCTTTTCTTTTTTGCTTTATCCTTGTATAAATTACGAGATAATTGCGGTTATCCATAATACAAGACGTCAATGAGATGGAGAAGCTTTTTTTTCTTCACGTAGTGTCAGAAATGACTTAAGTCTTGATTTAAATAGATTCTAGAGGGTTCATCAATCTTTTTTTTCTTCTTTTGATGTAGTTCCTCTAGTCCGGATTATCATCCTTCATTACTGAGTTTTCTACGGCCCTTTTTGTTGATCTAGTAGCTATCATTCTCTTTTGCTATACTCTTTGGGACTACTTATATCAACCTTTGCTTAACCTTTGCTTATATCCTTCATTTCCTATTTTTTCTCGTCCTTTAAATGTCTTAAACTTTTTAAAATCTGCTGGAAGTTTCTGGAATCAAAAGAGAGCCTTTTCAAAGTCTTTCGAATGAAGAACTACAGAATATTAACTCCTCACTACTTTTGAACAGATGAAACAATTCACAATGAACACATTTTGAAAATATTTCTAAAGGGAAGCTAATCCATCTGACTGGAACAGGGCTAGATATGGAAGATCCAAAATTCAATTTCTGGCATGAGGAGGACTCCATGGTTATGCCATACTTGTGAAATTCCATGCATTATAAAATTATTGAAAGCTACATTATCCTTGATGGAAATCAATTGACAAAATTACTCCACGATGCAACATGTTTTCTGATCTATGAAATTAAGTTGAGGATATCAGTAACAAAATAATGTATAAATTCAATCACATAATATTATTTTTTGATGAGGTGTTTCTAGCTTTAACTAGTTCACTATCAAAACTCCAATATAAATGCTTTTATAATGTCATAATTCACAAAAAGTTGGTAGAAATGAAGAAAACCTTCAAATTAGGTCAAATTTCAATGTTGACTTTGATCAAATTTGAGGATAAGTATTTGGAATGACACTATCACGTCCTATTGAAATGATTGGATTCCACAGGAAGATTTTATTTTTTTGAATCTTTTATTATTAGTATTTTCAATTTTTAGGATTTGATAGCATTGATAAGTCATAATTTTTATTTTCTTCTTTTATTATGGGGAGTTATGACTGATTTTATTGTTTTACTAATGTGGAAGTCATCCCCCTCTATTTATCTTGCAATTGTTTTATATGAAATTGAAGAGGAATATTTATTTTTCTTTCTCCCAAAACTACATGATATTAGAGTCGAAATTCACGAATGGAATCACCCAAAACCATCCATCGCCTTTGTGACCGCTGCCTCACAGTATGTTGCGATTAAAACCTCTTGGGAAGGCAAAATCGAAATGATTGCAAGTAGAGCTACCTAAGAAGGCAACGACAAGATCTGCCTGGGAAAGCAGCAACAAGATCGTTGTGATTAGAGCTACCCGGGAGGCAATGATAGGATTGTATTGTATTTAGACCATCAAACTCCCATCTATTCTCATCTCAAAACTTTTGAGGAATGGAACTTCACTTCTTCCTTTCCACGTGACGATGACTCTAGTCTCGGCATGGAATTTACTCTAATGACGAGTCTTGAAAGCACAAAAGAGATAAAGATGACAACTGTCGTCGCAGCTTCCTCATAGTTTTGTCCTTGAGGGTTTTATTCCTACCACAACATTGTGGATTTCAGCTCCTTGTTAACCGTCTTTGATGCGGAAGCCACTTTTCAGTGCTAGTCTTCTTCCCAGTTGGAACTTTCTCCATCACCTGTGACTCCTCTCTCTTCCTTCAGTCTTTCAGCAACGGGCTTCTTCTCTGCTAATTTTTATCAATATTCGGTGCCATTGGAATTTGTAATTTTAGGGAAAGAAGACTCCATCTTCTTTTTGTTTTTCTAGTTTTCAAAAAGAAGCCTTCCATTTTCGAGTGTCGTGAATTGGATAATCAAACTGGATTAGAAGTAGGCCCATTAGATACTCAATCTTGTTTAATCTTGGTATCAACTTCCATTTTTGAACTAACTCATGATCGAAATCGAATCGAATTTTCAGACTCATCTTCTTTCCTCTGATGATGTCGCAAAAGTCAACGATGATCGGCACCAAAAAAAGTTCTACCGTTTCTATTAGTTCTAGTAATTCTAAAATCAATTCACTCTACCTATAGTGATGCGAGCATTGTACAAAACTATAACATACGAAAGCGACATGTTGGAAGCTTCATAGTAAACCTGCAACTTGGAAACAAAAATATAAAAGTGAAGGTTGGGCCTATCAAATCGCTGCTAATGAAACTCAAGAGTCATGTACCAACTAGAATACACTACCTTTCACTAAGGAGCAATTAGAGCACCTGTACAAGGTATTTAAATCTCCAAAATTGTCATTGACTTCATCTTGCTCTTCAGTACAAAAAAAATATTCTCTTTAGCTATTATATTGTTAAGTGTTAACCCTAAGTTTATTCATTCTTGGATATTTGATTCTGGTACAACTGATCATATGATTGGTTTTTCTAAATTATTCTCATCCTATAGCTCTTGTGGAAGAAATAAAAGTGTCAAAATTGTCGATGGTTTCCTTCAGTAATTGTTGGGATAGGAACTGTCAAACTCATCTCGTTGTTAACCTTTCATGATGTGCTCCATGTTTCCACAGTATTTTGTATCTATTTTTCATTAGCAAAATCACTTTTGATTATCAGTGTCAAGTTGATTTCTATTCTTGTTTTAAATTTCAATAATTGACCACTAGGAGGATTGTTCGTAGTGCTAAAGAAGATGGACTTTATTTATTTGACGATGGACTTAATGCGAATAGATAATGTCAAAATACTTAAATTTTGTTTTTTATTCTAAAGACGATATTTTGTTATGACATTATATTTTAGTTTATCTGAATTCATAATATTAAAATTCTTGTCTCTCAATTTAATTCAAAATTAAGATTTGTCATCTTTTCAATGTAAAGTTTGTTCGTTTGTTACACATCAGCTTGCATCTTTTTCACCAAATGTACAACCGAACTAAACTTTTTACGCTAATGCATAGTAATTTTTGGGATCTGTATAAACATCTTACACACTCCAGAAACAAGTGGTTTGTTATCCTTACTGATGATTACACCAAGTTGAGTCTATTTAAAAAAAATATGAAGTAAAAATAATTTAAAAAAAAATTTACACCATGTTACAAATGCAATTGTAAAAAATTATTTAAATATTACAAAGTAATAATGATCGATAGTATTTTAAAAATATTTTGGTTCATTTTTTTCTAAAAAGGAATAATTCATCAAAGTTTTTATGTTGACACCACACATGAAAATGTATTTGAAAGGAAGCACAAACACTTATTACAAGTTGCTCAGACATTGTTATTTATAAAGTGTTAAAATTTATTTGGGGTGAAACTGCTCTTATTGTTATATTTCTCATTAATAGAACACCCAATAAAATTTTTAATTTTGAAATAACTTCTGAAAACAAATCGGCTTCTTATTTACCTTTAAAGATATTTGGTGTGTTGCAGTTTTTCGCATTCATAGTCATATACAAGGAAACAATAAACCCCAGGTAATAAAATGTGTGTTTGTTGATTATGATCCCACCCTAAAATGTATAAATGTTTTGATCCTATTTTTAAAATATTTGTTTTCATGGATTTCATCTTTTTTGAATTACAATTCTTTTTTATCATCTCATTATCAAGGGGGAGAGGGACAAAACATAGATTTGACTACTGCTTTTCAGGACTAACTTCAAATCAATGACACAAAATAATATTTTTCTAACCTTGATTCTTCAACCTGAAAATCCATACTATATTATATCAGGAGAAAATGGATCGAGTTTTTTAGATATTAAAAATGATTTAGATCTTCCTACTGTACTTTCTCATGATGTTCATGATCCTATAACAACTTACAAATAGGAAACAGGAAAAAGAATTACGATAATTGTACCATTTGACATTGTCTACTCGCGACAAATGACAATTCAAAATAAAGAGTCTAAGAATCATTTGCATTGCCCAAAATCCATGAACCTTTTACAGGTAATGTCCTCCTTGAGCCTTTTACTTATGATCATTTCACTTCATCTTCGAGTTCTGAGTCTTCTAGTATTAAACCTAAGTCTAGCCCTAATATGAAATGTAATTGTTCCAGCCATCCCATTGCTGCTTATAAAAGGGAGAGATCTTTCACCCTATTATTGCCTCAATGTGTCATATGAAAATCTCTCACCCATGGTTGAGGATTTTACCACACACTTGTCTTGTATAAAGATTCTTAGTACTGTGCAAGATGCTTTGAAACTTAAGGAGGATGTTTTCAAGGAGATGAAAACTTTAGAATAAAATGACACTTTGGAATTGGTTGATCTATTTAGGGGGAAGAAAACGGTCGGATGCAAATGATTGTTTATAATCAAATATAGTTTTGATGTCTCTCTAGAACGATATAAGGATCAACTGGTTGCTCGGGGAATTACTCACACCTATGACATTGATTACTTAGAGACATTCGCCCCAGTAGCAAATCTAAACTCTATAGGAGTTTTCAGTCACTTGAGCTAATTTGACTGACCCCTACAAAATTTGGATATAGAAAATGCATTTCTCAATGGAGACTTTGAGGAAGAAGTATATATGGATACACCTTGATTTAGAAAGAAGTTTGACACAAAGGTGTGTAAACTAAAAAGTTTTTATACAAGTTGAAGTGGTCACCTAGAGCAAGGTTTGAAAAATTTACACTGTTAAATGTTAGCGATATACTCAAGGGCAAGGAGATCATACAATGTTCTTCAGACTTTTAAAGGATAGGAAGATAAACTTATTGATTGTGTATGTGGACGATATAATTCTTATCGGAGACGACCTATATGAAATGAATCGGTTGAAGACTTGCCTCTCATCAGGTTTTGAAACCAAGAACTTGGAACCTCTAAGGTATTTTTATGGCATGGATTTTGCTAAATTGAGGAAAGGGATTGTTGTTTCTCAACGTAAATATGTTCTTGACTTTCTAAAGTAAACATAGATGAGTGGTAGTAGGTTTGCAGAAACTCCAATTGATCCCAATCAGAAATTGGGATATGAGAAGAAGAGAGGCCCAGTGAATACAACTCGATATAAAATATTTTTAGGAAAGTCGGTATACTTATCACATATACGGGTCAATATCACCTTTGCTGTGAGTTAAACAGGTTCTCTTTCAGCATATAAATAGAAAGAAATATATAGTTGCTCATACTTGTGCACAAAAGGTCATATATGCTAGTTTGGTTAGGGTGTCTTTTTGTTCTCTTTTGTAACCTTTTTGACTTTATTATTACAAAATGCTCACTTAACATATTAGAGGAAAGAGAGAAGAGGATAGGAAACAACTACGGGTCAATTTTTGTCGACTTAATTTAGTGGAGTGCAACCAAGGAGAAGTCGACGGAGAAGGCGCCAACGGCAGAAAATCCATAGTCGAAGAAAAACCATTGGAGAAAAACTAAGTCCTCTTATTGATGGCTACAACAAAAGGAGTAGGAGTTTCCATAACTTCCGAGAAAGATCTCGACTAGGTTGACGAGTTTTTGTTAACTTGCGAGCAAGATACGCCATCGCAAACGAAAAGTTGGAGAGGAATTTCTCCTTGCAAGACAATCTATATGTTTTGCATGCTAGAAGAAGCATTCCAGATCGAACGGGAACTCTGTTACGTCGTGATCCCGTCTTTGGCTTCTCAGTTATAGGTAGTATTGCAACTATATCGCGAGGTTCTATCACGTAGCTGATGGTTTTGGACGGAACCGGGAGAACAAATGGGTAGGGATGTAAACGAGCCGAACACGAGCGAGTGTTTGGCTCATTTAAAAATAACACTGTTCGTGTTTGCTTGGTTTATATTTCGAACACAAAAATTTGTTCGTGTTTGGCTCGTTTACTTAGCGAACCAAACACGAGTTGTTCGTGAACAAAGAGTCGTTTTGACAACCTTAGTCACACAACTATAGGATATTAAGGTTAGGGACGAGATTTAAATTTTATTATTTATATTAAAACATCTTTTAAATATAATTTAATATATTTTTATTCTATTTTTTTATTTATTAATTTTAATTTTTATAAATTTTTGTAGCCTTATAGACAATAAATTATATAAAAATACCACTCATATATATATATATATATATATAATTTAATTATTTCTATCCAAAATGAGTTGAACACCAATGAATAAATCTTTTTTCGTGTTTGACTCGTTCATCTATTGAGCGCAAAAATATTTTTGTTCAATTTGTTTGCTTAGCAAATTAATTGAACACGAGCTTCTTAACGAGTCGAACACTAACTGTTTGCAAACAACGAGCCATTTTGACAACCTTACAGATGGGATAGAGCCTGCGTTCACGATCACAAAGGCAACAATCGAGCCATTTTGTCATGTAGTCGATGGTTTTGGGCAAAGCTGGGTAGAGGGGAAGGGGCAGAGCCAATGTTCGCGATCACAAGTGATGGTTTTGGATGAAATCTGAAATCGTTCGTTGCTGCTCATGCCTTCTAGAAATTAAATCTATTGACAGATGTGCAAATTGGCGGATTTGAAACAGAGGCAAGACAAAACCTTAAAAGTTATGATACCACATAATATTTGGGGGGAAAAAAGTACTTATTCCTCCTCAATTTTCAAAGCCGCTATTATAAGATAAATAGCAGGGGCATGCTACCGCATTAGGAAAGTCACAAAATCAGCCACAATATCCGCCATGCTAGGAAAAAAGAAAATAGAAATTACTAACATATTATTCTAAACTACTAAAAATGGAAAATAATAAAAATAGAAGACACCAAATGCAGACAATCATAAAATTATGACGGAATTTTTTACTTCATAAAAGTTGAAAAAAAAAAAGAAGAATATTCCTGGTTCCTAGATCTTTGATACTTTGAAGAGGAGAAATGTGTTTCATTGGTAGACTTGCCTCTATTTATGTGGCAGAATTTTATGTTAAAATTTTTAACTTATACTTATGTTAACTACTAATTATAATGATAATAAAGAAAGTTGTTCTGATGGAAGATTATGAATAAATTAAGCTATAATTTGTTAGAAACCTCATTGAGGCTTTATTCAAGCATTTGGATTATGAGGCATATTATGAACATTTATTTAGGATGACAGACGTTAGAGATGGCATTTTATTGAGCTTGCACAATCAATTGAAAGAACTTCAAGCAAAAAGAGATCAAATGATCATTAAAATAAATTGAGTTGAAGTTCTTACAAAGTTAAAGGTTTTACAATATTTTCGGTTTTGTATTCTGAAAAAAAATAAAAAAACTTGAAGTCGCTACAAAATAAATAAATAAATCATTATCTTATCTTGTAAGCCATCTACATCAAAATATGCCTCCACGCCCAAATTTGAAATTGTGTAGTTTGAATTTTCGTCTCTGTTTACGAACTTTAAATCAAAATTGAGCCTGCGATTAAACCTTAATTGCAATTAGATTGTAAACTCACTTTTGAGTGTGAACCTATAAACTCTTGGGTATGAACCTGTGCTTCTAAACAACATTAAGTTTATCATTGAATGTGAAGCTGAACAATTCATATCTATCATTGTTCATGAGTCTAATGATCAAACAGACTGATAAATTTTAATTATGAAATTGGCTAGTATCTATATTCTAAAGATAATAAATAAATTAGGGAAAATGTTTCAACTTTTGAAGAAAATTCTAATAAAATTTTTTCTAAATTGAAATTGGTTTATTTTGTGGTTTGTGATTTTTTAACTCGTAAATTTATTCACATTGACTCGGGAAAAAGTAAAATTGTATCAATATAATTTTGTTACTAATGAAAGTAAAGAAGAAGAAAAAAAATCTAAAATTTAAACTTTGGTCAAACGTAAAAATATTAAAATAACTACACTAATATTGAAACCATTTTGGTTTTTTAATTGAGGTTTTGTTCATTGAAGCTTTCCATATTTGTATCTTTACATATTTTTAATTTTCTTTAACATCTCATTATGTAGGTACCAGTATCCCTTCGAACATATTGCCTTTCTAATGTTGTATTTACTTCTTTTATCATTTATATTATTTACATATTGTTTGATTTGCTTGAATATATTTGCTGAAAACTAATTATTGTTTATGATAATTATATGTCTCTTGTTGATGTAAAGAATAGATATGTAGAATTCAAACTAGATGATAATGTAGTTGCTGGTCTAAGTTCCAATAGACATCTTGCAGGCACCTTTAAGAAGTATATTTCTCTGCCTCATCTTTAATCAAACAAATCTAATCCAAACCGATGAATCAGCAAACTCCTTCCCAATTAGGATAGTGTATTTGGAAGAAACTTAGAGTGGAGAGCACACACTTAATTGTTTAGTGAACTTCAAGACAAATTCATTATAGTGTCATGAGAATTTATGTGAGGTCCGTTAATGTTCAAGATGTGTAAATATGAGCTGTAAATATGAGCTTGGTAATTTGCCATGTTGAGACTGGTTTATTTTTAATTCATTGCTGGCATCTATATTTCACAATCTATCAACCTAACATTATTTTCTTAGTTATATATGCCTGACATTAAGCTCTATACTTTGGGATGTAGAAAGAAGAATTTCAACACACAGCTTATGCAACCAACGCCTATGTTACAATTGGTCCATTATGGAATCAAGTATTGCAAGGTGAGATGCCTTTGCTACATTTAAATGAATTTCTAAAAATTGATTCACTTTGTTTACTTTTATTTTAAACTGAACATGTATTGTGCTTATACTGTGAACAATTATGTAGCTTATTTTGAAGATGCCATAATGTTATCACAGTTCTTTGGCATGCATCAAGTCTTAATTGCTTTGGAAGGTTATAGTGTCATGTTTTGAATCTCTAATTGATATTCAGTTTGAAGTAAAAAAAAAAAACAATATGGACATGTACATGGATGGATAGCGCATCTTATCGTATGCTATGCTTTTTGCCAGAAAATTTAGCAGCCTATGCAGTCTTCATGGTGAATATCCATATTTGAAAAAACACTTTTGCATGCAAAGTATCTTCTTAGAAAATTATTTTATATATATGGTGCACTGGTCGTACAGAAAATTATTTGTTTTTTTATGTTCATAAACAGAATTGTTCGTGAAATCAAAAAGTGACTCGATCAGTCACATAGTATGAAAAAAGAATTTAATGAACTGGCTGTTCAACCTTTTAATTTGCATTGCTCGAGTTTTCCAATGCTGCAACATAAACCATACTTGCATGAAATTCTTAAGGGATTTTTCTTCCAGCTGATTACAATTGTATTACCTAGATATATCTAGAATGTTTTAGCTCTTTTTGCTCATAAAAAAAAGTCGGAGTTAATAATTTAACTTGCTGGATAACTTTTTTTTTTTTCCATGAAATTAGTTGATTTTATACTTTGAAAATGTATTGCTATATGCAAAGGAATTTGAAATTGAAGTTATAATTATGTTAAACACGTAGCAACCCTTAGCATGTTTGCTATCATCATCATCATTATTCTTCTCAATTCCTTGGAGTTAGCTTAAACCAAAGAAGGTTAGTGGCGACGGAATCCCTACAAGTAGAATATGAACTAAGAGAGGGAAGGGGGACACTTGCATTGGGAAGAGAACTGAGGGGAGAAGGGATATAATGTTTAGTTTTGTGTGGGGCTTTGGGAGCCGAAAAATCATTATATTGATGTCCATCCAAGCCTTTACTGCACTTAGACCAATCTGCTTGTACAACTACGAGAAGAGGAATATGTTGTCAAATGTTTGTAATCAATGGGATAAAGAGGAATAATATATTGTGGTACATGAGCCGTAGTTCATGGTTTTTTTTTTATTAGAAAGAGATCGAATGTAGAATGACTTTCTCCTGTTGATTTTCACAAAGGCATCTATGATTATGATCATTGAAAAATCTCGCAGGAGCGATCATACGAATTTATCCTTCTGCTTCTTACGAGTGCATCCTCTGCTGTTATTTATTTGTTTGCTTCTTCACAGGAAAAAGACCAGTGAAGCTTGCCATTTGCGTGGCGCAGAAACAAAATGACGATAGAAATAAAAAAGTCTCTAAACGAGGCCTATCATCAGTTCTGGAATACAAGCTAGATGAACTTCGTAAGGAGATCTCTTCGAGCGAGGTTGGAATATTTCCACATGCTGTTCTATCTACTCAACAAATTGCTCTTCTAAGCATCCAAAAGCCGACCTCGATACCAGAGGTTTTACATCTTTTCCTACTTCATTCAGGGCCTAAATTTAACTGCAGACCGGTGGTTTATCTTTTAATGTTAAAATTGCTGCAGTTGGAAAAGCTAATAGGGAAGTTGAAGGCTGAAAAATATGGTAGGAGAATTGCTGAACTGATTCAGAATTATGTCAGAGAAGAGCAGCCCAATTGTGAAGCAACTGATGCAGATAAAGGTAATGAAAATGAAGGCATTAAGAGACGAAGAAAGAACAAATCCCCTGTTATTATTGAGAGCAGTGGAGATGAGAAGGATTAGCAGTAGTTGAAAGAACCAAAGCAAAGCTCTTCTGTGTTACCTTTTGGGAAGCTGGAAGGCAAAAAAGAATGAATTAGACTAACATTTTCGTTGGAAGAGCAATTGTGAGTGTCTTGTTTATTAAATGCTAAATTTTAAACCTCTGCTGTTGACTCATGAAAAAGCATACTAAATTATATGAAAATTTTGGTAGAGTGTGGCTGTATTATTGCGCCCTTGAATTCTTGTGCTTTAATGTCTTCATATGACAGGTCAAGACTTCTATCGTATATATATCATTAATATTAAATTTTATATAATAAAATACACCTTTATATGCATTTATATTGAAGTGATTGAAATATTAAAATGCTATATATGAACATATAAAAGCTTAAATGCTAGCTATATAAGTATCTTAGAATTATATGACATGTATGTAAATCCCATTTAATGTATGAACTTAATGAACTTATTTGAATCATTAGATTAGTTTTTTTTTTTTTGTTTTTTTGGTTTAAATTTGGCTCATGTTCGAAATCATTCATGAATTTGTGTTTGTTTTAACTCTATTTAATTTAAAGTCAAATGTGTTGATTTCAAATAAATAAAAATTATGGAAATTTACATACATAGCATCCAATTCTTGTGCGTTTACTTGTCTCACACTAAAATTTTGATTTTTACATCTTGAGCACGCTAACTCAAAGCAGCCTAACCTATGTATGAAAATGTGAAGTAGAGTATTTTCACTTTTTTCATGCATATGGAAAGGTGCTTTAGGTGTAAACATTGAAGTTTGGGTGTGAGATATCTAAATGCATAAGAATTTATGTAAAATCCCCAAAATAAACAACTATGTTATTTATTTGCTAAACAATTAATAATGGAAAAATATAATTTAATAATAAATATTTTTTTCTTACTATTTTTATATTTATTTGCTAACCAATTAATAATAAAAATAAAAATTAATAACATCTGCCGATCTTACTGTTGAAAGTATTTTCATGGTGGAGACATTGATATGGTTCTGCTGCAGTTTAGTTTTAAAATTGTCTCTACTTTAATAATGATATTTTTGATTTGATATGAAAGATACCTGGTAATCGGGTGGTTTGTATGTAATACCCCCTAAAATTAAGCGTATGATGTCCTCCTGACTCTCGTTTCTTTTTTACTTCAGTGGATGACAGCAACCATACTCTTGTTGTTGAGATGCTTGAACAATCCTCTCATGTAAAATTTTGGCTTTATATTTCTCTTGATCTTATGTATTCCCTATACAAAATAATACTCAGGACTTTTTTATAATTTTATGTATATTACAAATAATTCTTAGTTGCATAAATACTATGTGATATGCTAAAGGTGGGTTGATGAGCTTCGGCCTAGAGACAAAATGAGCGTGATTTTTTGAAGCTATTGACATTCCTTAAACCACCAAATACAGATAGATAAACAATCGATGGACATCAAGGCACAAACATTGCACAATGACTACTATCAATTGTTGCCTCATCATCCAACTGATATGCTAGTTATTGCTTCTTTACCAAAATAAATTATATGACAATTGATGTCACTCATTTTTTTTCTATTGGATAATGCATGTTTTTATCACAAATGAGATGTCGACCATTATCCTTCATCAACATAATTGATTGATGTTTGATAATCTTCATCAATATCAATTCTTACTATTTTAGGAAATAGTCTCAAAATATATTTTAATATTTTATTCTTTTTCTTTTTTTATTATAAAAAAAAGTCAAATCTTCATAATCGAAGTATTATACTCTTAGATTTGTCCTCACTAGACAATGATTTTCATTTTTGCCTCACTTATGTTTTCTCATTTGAATATTTCTGGTGACTTATTTGATTTATGTAACTCTATCCCTTTGATCTCTACGGATAAGATCTCAATGTAAGTTAAATCATAACTCTCAACTTTATTAGAATGTTTTGAAGGCATGAAAAGGGCTAGAGGATAATAATTAAGTGTGCGTAAAAATAATCTAAAATTTATTTTTCTTATTTTTTTTGCTGTGAATTAGTTGTAATAATTAACATAACTAATCAGCAAAAGTGCACAAAATCAATATATATATATATATA